CCATCACTTTCTACGGGGCGAGATCGAGGACAGTTCCGAGGGTTATCTCTACCTTGAGAGCTATGAAGAGCCTTAAAAAATAGGGTAGCCAGGGTTATCTAGTGAGCATTGTTGTGAGCGAGACCCAGAAGTTGACTCCAGATGGAGTTCTTATTGTGCGTGAGTACCTGGAGGTGTTTCCGGACGAGCTACCAGGAGGACCACCAGACAGACAGGTCGAGTTCTCGATTGACTTGATTCCGGGAGCGGGCCCTGTGTCGAAGGCACCTTACCGTATGGCTCCGAAGGAGCTGCAGGAGCTGAAGACACAGATTCAGGAGCTGTTAAAGCTCGGTTTTGTGCGACCGAGTGTTTCACCATGGGGTGCACCAGTCCTTTTTGTGAAGAAGAAGGATGCGTCGATGAGGATGTGCATCGACTACCGAGAACTCAACCGACTCACTGTGAAGAACAAGTACCCATTGCCCAGGATCGAGGAGCTGTTTGATCAGTTGAGGGGTGCTAGCGTATTCTCGAAGATAGATTTGAGGTCTGGCTACCATCAGCTAAAGATAAAGGAGTCCGATGTTTCTAAGATCGCGTTTCGAACTCGGTATGGCCATTACGAGTTTTTGGTCATGCCCTTCGGATTGAGCAATGCCCCAGCCGTCTTCATGGACCTCATGAATCGAGTGTTCCACCCCTACCTTGATCGGTTTGTCATTGTCTTTATTGATGACATTTTGATATATTCTCGAGACGAGGAGCAGCACGAGCAGCATCTGCGTACAGTTTTAGAGACACTTCGTCGAGAGCGGCTGTATGCCAAGTTTTCGAAGTGCGAGTTCTGGTTGGACCGAGTTGCCTTTCTCGGACACATTGTCACCGCTAAGGGGATAGAGGTCGATCCGAGTAAGATTGAGGCGGTGAGTAACTGGGAGGTTCCGAGGAATGCCAGTGATATTCGCAGTTTCTTCGGACTAGCTGGCTATTATCGTCGCTTCATAGAGGGATTCTCGAAAATAGCCCAACCATTGACCCAGCTGACGAAGAAGTCAACCAGATTTTTGTGGAGTCCCCAGTGTGAGGTGAGCTTCCAGGAGTTGAAGACGAGGCTCACTACGGCACCTGTATTGACCATACCTGACCCAACTTTGGAGTTCACTATCTACAGTGACGCTTCGAAGATGGGTTTGGGATGTGTGTTAATGCAGCAGGGGAAGGTTGTGGCTTATGCTTCGAGGCAGTTGAAGCCCCACGAACTGAACTATCCTACCCATGACCTAGAGTTAGCGGCTGTGGTTCACGCATTGAAGATTTGGAGGCATTACCTTTACGGAGGGAAGTGCGAGATTTTCACAGACCACAAGAGCCTGAAGTATCTCTTCACGCAGAAGGAGTTGAACATGAGACAGAGGAGGTGGCTAGAGCTCGTCAAAGACTATGATTGCACGATTAGCTACCATCCTGGGAAAGCTAATGTAGTCGCAGATGCCCTTAGTCGGAAGGGCCGTGGCGAGTTGGCCTGTATTCTCACCCAGCAGGAGGAGTTAGTCAGAGAGTTCGAGCGGCTAGAGTTAGAAGAGGTGGAGCCAACTTCTGGAGCCAGTGGTACTATAGCAGCACTGGTTGTGGGACCGACTCTACGAGAGAAGATAGTAGCCGCTCAGCCGAGTGATCGTTTCCTTTGTCGGATGCGAGAGTTATCTCGAGCCGGCAAGATAGAAGGATTCGCAGAGACACCTGACGGAGCATTGGTCTTCGAGCAGAGATTATGTGTTCCGAAGGTGTTAGAGATTCGGAGGGGGATTCTCGAGGAGGCACACAATGCCCCGTATACCGTCCATCCAGGCAGTACAAAGATGTACCAGGACCTTAAGAGGTACTTCTGGTGGAGAGGATTGAAGCGAGATGTGGCGAAGTACGTGGACAGATGTTTAGTGTGTCAAAGGGTCAAAGCCGAG